TTATTAGAGTTCTTGATTTTAGCCATTCTAACTGGGGTGAGGTGATATCTCAATGTTGTCTTGATTTGCATTTCTTTTATGGCTAGGGAGGTTGAGCATTTCTTCATGTGTCTATTGGCCATCCTTTCCTCTTCAGAAAAGTTTCTCTTTAAGTCTTTAGCCCCCTTATTTATTGGGCAGTTGTTTCTTTGAGGATTTGTTGGTGGTGGATTTAATTTTTTGAGTTCCAAGTATATTTTAGATGTGAGACCCTTGTCCGTTCATACTGACTTTTTTCTAAAATGTCAACTTTTAATGTTGATATGGGTATAGTATAATTATAATTAGCAGTAACATAATTCTAGACAATATTTTCTACACATATTCAATATTAAACAGCCTTCTAAATTATGGACTGTAATTGTGCATCAGTGGAGCTCATTGGACACTTAAGAAAGTGAACTAGAGCCGGGCGCTGGTGGCTCACGCCTGTAATCCTAGCTACTCAGGAGGCTGAGATCTGAGGATTGTGGTTCAAAGCCAGCCCGGGCAGGAGAAACCGTGGGACTCCTGTCTCCAATAAACTACCAGAAAACCGGAAGTGGCACCGTAGCTCAAGTGGTAGAGCGCTCGCCATGAGCTGAAGAGCTGAGGGACAGCGCCCAGGCCCAGAGTTCAAGTCCCACGACCGACAAAAAAAAAAAAAAGAAAGTGAACTAGATAACTCGTGGTGGAGTCCAGAGGGGAGGACTGGCAGAGAATGAGGGAAGAGAAGACACTGTATGAAAGGAAATGTACCCATTACCAGACTCATGTAGTCCCTCTGTATATCACCTTTAAGAGTATTCTACATACATAAATGTGTACACATTTTCAAAAATAGCCATTGTTGAATTTACTCATTTTGTTTCTTTTTTCTTTTACTTAGATGACAAGATTCTACAGATCATTACGGAATTGATAAAAACAGAGAATAATTGATACTACAATTCATGGTCTATGCTTTAAAGTTGAGTTGACAATAAAATCATAAAATAATGTGAAAGTGGACCGCTAAGTATTTCATTATACCTAAAATACTGCTATTGGCCATTAATGTAAAGGTGGCAGGAAAAAAGCACATACTTTCAACATGTGTAATTTTCTAATTCCTTTTTAATGATGATTATTCTGTGTATTTGCCACTACATTTACAATAAATCTTTGGTATCATCCATGTCTTGCACATTGTTATATTCTTTAAAGGCAAGGTCTCTATAGTTTCTGTGGCTTGATAAGATTCTCTGTGTAGCTGTCATCTTCTTTCAGTCCTTAACACTTGTAAATATTGGACCATTTTGACCCAGAAGAGAAACAGAATTTCCCAGTTTCTGAAGGATACAATTTCAACATGTTGACATGCTTATGAGAAGAAAACTCAGCTCTTCTTTCATTCATTTCAAACCCATCTAGCTGAACATATTTAGAGTCTGGATCCTGCTTTCAACAGGTCAGCCTACACTGCCACAAACTGCAGTTCGTTAACTTTGAGCCCTTGTTGCCTTTTCTCATGAGTTCTAAGAAGCATATGACTAGGCAGGCCTCAACATCTGCTGTGTTGTGGTCTGTACCCTGTGATTTGACATCCAAGTAGGCACATTATATCTTTGCCCTCAACCTTGCTTTTCAATAGAGCAGTTTTGCTTTACATTTGTGACAGGAGGGTTATTTTACCATGGTCTGAATATACTAATTGCCACCTTCTTTGTTTTTCATCCAATAGAGAAAGAAAAGACAGGGGTATGAGGTTATGTTAATATAGCATGCCTCTCTGGCCATAAGGAGTCCCTTCTCCAAGCTGATTGCACATCTTTTTTAATCAGCAGCAGCAACAGCAATCTCAACCATAGGCAGAGATAGAATAGCCTTACCTTGCATTTGGCTGGAAGGTATTTTTTGCATAGTCTACCCCTTTCTACATCAACCTGATGAAAAACATTTTAGGGGGATTTATCCATGTTTAGGTAATACTGTTAGGACCTGCACACCCAACCACCAAAAAATGTTTCTCCTTCACAATAACATCATAAGCAAGTGGGCTTCGAGGTTTGGCTCAGGTGGTAGAGCGTCAGCCAGCGAGCAAAAGTGTCAGATACTGAGTTTAGTCCCAGTCTCAGACAAAAACAAACACACACCAGGGACTCCACATTAAAAGACTGAAATTTTGATTTACAAATACAACATATGAAAATGCCCTTTAGAGAAGTCTCCCTTTTACATTATGTCCAGATTTCATTTGGTTTTGCCTTCAGCTTTTCTGCCTCTTGCTCTATGGAAGCAGGGCCATCTTCACTACAAAACAAGAGTAATACCTGGCACTTATTAAGTATTGGTTTTGGCAGAAGAGAGATACAACTACATAGTTGTATTTGGGCATGGTTACATCCTACTGACACCTTTCATAGGTCTTTCTTGAGTAATTTGTCTTAAACTTTTCTCCATGTGAAAAATATGTTTACACCAGAGCAAGAAAGTGGGATGATAAAGTGTATTTTCCAGTAGGTTGCTAGTCACAGCTCAACAACAGACAGCAGCTCATTTTTTTCTTGGTACCAGGGCTTGACCTCAGGGTCCTGCGTAAGACCTGGACTTGCTCAGCTGGCACTTGAGCCACACCTCCAGTCTGGCTTTTTGCTAGTTAACTGGAGATGGAATCTCAAGGATTTTTCTGCCCAGATTGGCTTTGAACCATGATCATCCTTGTATCAGATGCTTAAATAGCTAGGAATACAGGTGTGAACCACAGTACATGTGGCTAATTAAATTTTTTTTGGCAGCCCTAGGGTTTGAACTGAGGACTTGGTGCTTGCTAGGCAGGTACTCTACCATTTGAGCCATGCCCTGAGCCCTAATCATTTTTATTTTATTTTGCCAGTCCTGGGGCTTCAACTCAGGGCCTGGGTGCTATCCCTGAGTCCATTTATGCTTAAGGCTAGCACTCTACCACTTGAGCCACAGTACCTCTTCTAGCTTTTTCTGAGTAGTTTATTGGAGATAAGAGTCTCACGGACTTTCCTGCCCTGGGCTAGCTTCAAACCATGATCCTCAGATCTCAGTCTCCTGAGTAGCTAGGATTTAGGCATGAGCCACCAGCGCCTAGCCCATCACGATTACTTTACTATCTAGATACTTTAATATCGGGGAGAGGCAAATGCAGGAAAGAGACTCCTTTTCTGCCAATTACCTATGTATCTCCTCAGCTCAAATCACACCTCTTCCCACATGAATAACTAGCAATGACCTAATTCTTTTTTTTTGACAGTTAATGAAATTTTATCAGCAGATTATAATAAAAATAAGATTTCTGAACACCCTGGGAATGACCTAATTCTTATGGCAAAATTCTGTTCCCTGTGTACTGGTAATGGCTTTATAAAGCTACATAATAAATACCCAAACAAATCTAAGAGTGTAACATCCTGGTCATATCAAAGGGTCCTACCCTAAATTTTAGACACATGGTACCAGGAAGACTGCTGTTCCTGGCACCCTCACATCTCCCCAGACATGCCCACCATCCAGAGGAGCCTAGAAGAGCAAATGTCCAGATAGGATCAGTTTGAGGTAATGCTTCCCTGGCTCATGCAGACAAGTTGCTTAGTCTCCCATACTGCAGAAAGCTGAGGCCTGGGCTGGCTGGATGCCTTCCTTTGACCTTTTATTTCTTCTCATTATCCACTCTGATCCAGATACAGAAGGACAGAAGTGCTGCTGGAGACCTATCTCAAGATGGCATTGTCCTTCTGATGGCCAGATTCAGCATCTGGATGTAGGGAAGACATATCTACATTACCTAAGTGAAGCTTCTTAGATGGCACCCTCCACTAGTACTTATTTGGGTTTTTTTGGGGGGGTCCGGTTGTGGGGCCTGAACTCTGGGCCTGGGCGCTGTCCCTCAGCTCTTCGGCTGCAGGCTAGAGCTCTACCACTTGAGCCACAGTGCCACTTCCGGCTTTTTTCATTTTGCTTATGTGGTGCTGAGGAATCGAACTCACGGCCTCAGGGATGCAAGGCAAGCGCTCTACCACTGAGCCACCTTCCCAGCCTCCACTAGTACTTATTTGGAAGGCTATGACTTTAGGTCAACACCCAAATACACTCAAATTTCAGGTAAGTCCAGAGGAACTATAATGTGAATAGCAGCCTCCTTGCAAATTGGCTAATTATTCCTCCCTCCCTCCTGCCCTATTTCTCCTCTCTTTCTCTCCCTCACACATATGCATGGGTGCGTGCATGCGCACATGCACACACACACACACCATAACAAACTGAAAATCAACCATCTTGCATGGCAAAAAGACACGTCTTACACATCCCCTGAAAAAATCACTATGTAACTGCAGCAACAACTGATCTATTGAACATTACATGTCTTATTTATGTCTTTTTCAGTCCTCACAACAACTTTAGAGACTCGTACCACTCCACTTTTTGAGCAAACAGACTTTTATTCAAACCTCGAATATCATTTACATGTGGCCTGAGATGTCTATTTTTAAAATAATAACATTTCTTCAAATAACAAAATTTACGAAGATGCATTGCAGAATTTTTGTTCAGCAGTTCTATAATAGCTATTTCAAGATGACTTAAAAAAACAACTCCCCGGGGCTGGGAAGGTGGCTCAGTTGTAGAGCACTTGCCTTGCATGCCTGAGGCCCTGGGTTCGATTTCTCAGTACCACATAAGCAAAAAGAAAAAAAGCTGGAAGTGTTGCTGTGGTTCAAATGGTAGAGCACTAGCCTTGAGCTGAAGAGCTGAAAGGCAGCGCCCAGGCCCAGAGTTCAGGCCCCACGACTGGACCCAAAGAAAAAAAAGCAAAACAAAAAAAAAAAAAAAAAAAAACAACTCCCCATGTACTTGAAAACAAGCAGCAACATGCTGTAGTTTATTTATAAATATCAGTACTTACAATAAAATATCAAGTGTACCTTTTTCAAATTTTAAGTCTCTGAATGCTTCATTTCTCCTTTGGTTTCAAGCTTAATGTACTTATATACATTATCCATTTAGAGCTGATACAGACACTGTCCATGTATTGGGAAGGCAAAGGTCTCATGGGAGTGATAAAGCATTACGTCATAAAATGTAACCATCAAAGCAAAAATACTATACATTCTGCAAACAATCATTCAAAATAAGCACTGACACATACCAAAATAACAGTTTTCTACGAAATGAGAAACCTCTTGTAAAGCACACTAATTGAAGATAATTTCTGTTGAGAACAGAGCCTGTCCCTGTATTTACTTATATGCTTACATACCTTGGAAATGAATAATTATTACACTCATTTGCCAAGAGGTTGTCCTCTGCTTAGTGGGCTGACTGTTCCAAACAAGGAATACCAAACTACTTCAGGAAGTAATCTATAAATAATTCACCTCTATCAATCCATGTTAATAATATAAATACTATAAATGAAGCAGTAAATTTCAAATTTTGTGCAAAGGAAACTAGTAATTAGTTTGTTTACAATAAGGCTACAAGCAAAATAATCAGTACTAAGTCCAAACTAGTAGCAAACCCCTGATCTAGCAGGCTTGAATTTGAATTACTGTGCAAAAGAGTTCTGGCATCATCAAAATCCTGTAATAAAATACTGATTAGGTTTTGAAATACAACTTTAATAATGGTACCATATATTCAATATACACTATGTGGAAAATAAACTACATAGTTTGTGGGCAAGGATGGAAGGGAAATGGGGAAAGCAAAGGAAGAGCAGAACTGCACTCATTACCTGACTTACACCTCTATTCACCTTAATAATAATAATAATAATATTGGGGCTGGGAATGTGGCTTAGTTGTAGAGTGCTTGCCTAGCATGCATGAAACCTTGGGTTTGATTCCTTAGTACCATGTAAACAGAAAGAGCCCGAAGTGGTGCTGTGACTTAAGTGGTAGAGTGCTAACCTTGAGCAAAAGAAGCTCGGGGACAGTGCCCAGGCTGTGAGTTCAAGACCCAGGACTGGCAAAAATAATAATAATAATAATAGTACTCTAGCAATGACATCAAAAATCCCTTAACAAAAACTAAGATAACTCATTTGTCAATAATGTCCCGATTCAAAACCTAAATTTGAAACAAATAGTAAACACACGAAACCAGAGATGTATTTTCTACTGTGATATGCAAGGCTTTCTATGGTAGCATTCTGAACTACCAGAGCCCCCTTGAAAGTGAAAGAAAAAACAGTTGACTGTCCATCCTTTTTCAAAGTTTCCAGTCCCTGAGCATATACCACAAGAATTAGACTGTTTCCTGGTAGGGGATCTGCAAATGATCATCCAATGCTTTGCTGGTCCAAAGCAAACCCACACCAAAGACTTGCCTCAGTGAGCTTCAGGCAGCATCTTTTCCCTTCTTTGATTTCCACATAGGTATCAGTGTCTGTACAGTGCTATGCTGGCTTTTATTTGGGGGGGTAGGGGGGGTCTAGTCGTGGGGCCTGAACTCTGGGCCTGGGCACTGTCCCTCAGCTCTTCAGCTCGAGGCTAACGCTCTACCACTTGAGCCACAGCACCACTTCTGGCTTTTTTCTTTTTGCTTATTGCTGAGGAATCGAACCCAGAGCCTCATGCATGCAAAGCAAGTGCTCTACCACTGGGCCACCTTCCCAGCCCCTATGCTGGCTTTTTTGAAACAAACTGGTTGTTGGTGGCAAAAAAAAAACAACATCATTTACCAATGCTCCCAGCCTCATGCCCTTCCTATGGGTTCCTTCAAACCAATGAAGCTCAGAACCTTCTTCCAATCCTGCCATACTGCTTGTCATCATAGCATTACATTACAATCTGTCTCTGGTAGGGCTCAGCTGGCTGTGACCTCTCTTTCTTCTCCAGCGGTATCTCTTACTGTCCCATATTTTTTTAAGTTTACTTTATTGTTATTATAGAGGTGATGTACAGAGGGGTTGCAATTACATGAATCAATGAGTACATTTCCTTATTTTCTTCTTTTTTTTTTTTTGTGGGTCATGGGTCTTGAACTCTGGGCTGGGCGCTGTCCCTCAGCTCTTCAGCTCAAGGCAAGCACTCCACCACTTGAGCCACAATGCCACTTCCAGTTTTCTGGTGGTTAATTGGAGATAAGAATCTCATGGACTTTCCTGCCTGGGCTGGCTTTGAACTGAGATCCTCAGATCTCAGCCTCCTGAGTAGCTAGGATTACAGGTGTGAGCCACCAGCGCTGGGCTACATTTCCTTTCATACAGTGTCTTCTGCTCCCTCATTCTCTCCCAGTCCCTCCCTCCTGCCTCCTCCTATGAGTTGGATAGTTCACTTTCCTCACTGTCCAGGGAGCTGTGCCACTGCTGCACTTTTTCACCATTTTTCCCTCAAGTTCTGAGCTGTCCCCACCTCCCCCTCCCAAAAATATACATGTGAACACACCATACATAAACTAATGAAGACGGAGACATTAAAACCTAAAAACAGCCAGGAAAATTAAAGAATGATTTGAATAACTTGCCTGAAGCTACAGAACTTTTGTGCTGCAGCGAGGCTTTGAACTCAAGGACTTTGCCTCAAAAGCAAAATCTCAGCGTGCAGGATCCTACCCATGCTGGGCAGGTGGCCCCAGGTGGGTGGGAGACCCGGCACAGCCATGCTTGAGGGGAGAAGCAGTTACCTCAGTGTGTGCTCTGACCCCGTAATGAACTGGGAATTGGCCAAACACTAGAAGGCAGTGACAAGGAGCTTTCCCCAGGTGGACAGTCAGAGGTTGAAGACAAACATCTAGGCTCTAAAAACGTGCTACCCTTTGTTTATTAAATACTTGCAAAACTTGTCTGACTTTAAGAACCTTAAATATGCCTCAATTTTCAGAGCTTAAGTACAGTCATAGAAAACAGATTCTTAAGTAAATACTGTAATTTTCAGTGACATCGAACTGAGTTTAAAGGTTACCTGAGGCAATAACAAAGTTGTCCAGTTATTGCCAACCCACTATTTTGGTGACTGAAACAAGGTTCAGTTCTGAATTCAACTCCAGTGTGAGTTAGGGCAGGGTAAGAAAGGACCTTTTGTCTCAAGCTGAAGTTCCCAACTAGGACAAAAAGAAAACAATCCTCCTTTGGTTCCCTTATATTAATACTTCCTTGCACATTTCATAAATGGCACCTGAAAACAAACAGGTCAAATCATAGTTAAGCTGCTTTTTCATTAGAGAAACTTGGCTTTAATTAGGTTTTACAGGTTTGAAGTATTTCAGGTTTACCTTGCTCTCTCTGGGCATAGATCCCAAAGAGATTAATTAGTAGAAATTAATTTAAAGATATTTCACAGGGAAAGCAAAAAGCCCTGAAATTGGACCAGATTGTTCATACCACAAATATTAAGGAACTAAGTCAGATGCTGGTTCTCACATGTGTAATCCTAGCTACTCAGCTACTATTCAAGAATCACAGTTTGAAGCCAGCTCAGGCAAGAAAGTCTCCAATTGGCTCCAAATTAACTACCAAAAATGCCAGAAGTAGAGCTGTGGCTCAAGTTGTAGAATACTAGCCTTGAGCAAAAGAAGCTCAAGGACAGTGCCCAGGCCTTGTGTTCAAGCCCCAGGACCAGAACAGCAACAATAACAAAAATTAAGGTAGGGAGCATGCAGCACCTATATATCTCTGAGTGATGATCTTGGGCAGAAAACTGTAGAAGGTAGAACAAACTAGGGAGGTGTAGGGATGCTACCTTCCATGTCCCATCTACAACTACATTGAACTAGGTTTAAACAGCAAGTTGGACAGTAAGGAATGGCCCATCAAGAAAGCATTGTGTAAGATGGAAGGAGCCACTGATTTGCTGTTCAAAGTAAATGGTATGAACTGCCCTTATGCAGTGAGGACACCAAATTCTGTCTCTAGACCAACTTCATTCTTGAATTTCCCACTTGCTTTTCAAATGCTCACTCAAGCTTCCTTGTGGATGTCTGGCAGATAGCTCAGGCTTAACAGGCTTAAATCCAAGACTCCTTATCTTCTCCAGAAAATTTTTTCCTTCACTTATTTTTTTCCCTTACAACTTCATTTTTTGACTTACTTATGCCAGAAAGTTTGAGGTTTCATACACTTCTAACTAAGAAAAAACATTTTAAAAATACTCCGTAAATTAAAATATTCTTTTATGACTGGGATGCGTACAGTAAATGTCTTCAAAGTTTTTTTTCCATATCTCATAAAGCACAATGGAAGTATGTATAAATTGATATGGATTGTATAAAAACACTTGAAACCTGACTGAGGTCTATCTTTAAAGACCTAGCTGAAATTCAGGTGCTGGTAGCTCACACCTGTAATCCTCACTACTCAGGAGGCTGAGATCTGAGGATAGAGGTTCAAAAGCTCAGGGATAGTACCCAGACCCCAAGTACAAGATCCATGACCAACTAATAAAAAAAGACTTCGTTGGATAGAACTCATATTTCTGGATATTAATCAGACTTTCCGAGGCTCCATTGCTTTAATGTCTTTGGTACATAAGCCCAGACTCAAAGTTCTCCTTAATTTGTCCTGTCCCCCAACTTTGAGCCCCCTTTTAATCTCTTGAAATACCTGTTGACTCTACTCTCTTAACTCTGTCATTCCCACAGCATCTCTTGCCTGAACTACTGCCCCTGATTGGGCTTCCAATTTGTCCCTCTAATCACTTTCCACATATCAGTCTCTTCAACAAAAGATATTATCTCTCTCTCCATCTTTTCAATGGCTTCAGGTAACATTTAAATATCTAATACAGTGTACAGGGCACTGTAAGATCTTGCTGCTGAAGTAGTTTAGCAAAGTAATTAGGGATCTAAGTCCGGTCGTGGGGCCTGAACTCTGGGCCTGGGCACTGTCCCTCAGCTCTTCAGCTCAATGCTAGTGCTCTACCACTTGAGCCACAGAGCCACTTCCAGCTTTTTTTCCTTTTTGCTTATGTGGTGCTAAGGAATGGAACCCAGGGCCACAGGCATGCAAGGCAAGCGCTCTACCACTGAGCCACCTTCCTAGCCCATGTCCAGGTTTTTTGCCAGATATTTGGAGATAGAGTCTCACAGATATTTCTGCATTGCCGGCTTCAATTATTTATTCTCATGGGCCATCCATACCTGGAAGAACTGGAATTGACAACAGTTAAAAGTAGTTTTCAAGCAAGCCCCAGCACACACAAGTACCAGCAAGTACCAACACACACAAAACAAGATCCAGGTGCTGGTTCACAGCTATAATCCTAGCTACTCAGGAGGCTAAGATCTGAGGATCTTGGTTTGAAGCCAGCCCTGACAGGAAAGGCCATAAGACCCTTATTTCCAATTAACCACCAAAAAAATCCCAGAAAGAAGTGTAGTTATCGCTCAAGTGGTAGGGCACTACCAAAAAGCTCAGGGACAGTGCCCAGGTTCTGAGTTCTAATCTCAGGACCAGCACATACACACACACAGACACACATGCACACACACATACATACACACAAAACATAGAGTTTTATATTTTTTAAAAAAAACAACAAAATATCTAGTGTAATAATATTATTAATTCTCAAAGTAAGTAGTGAAGTGGTGCTGTGGCTCAAGTAGTAGAGCACTTGCCTTGAGCTGAAGAGCTGAGGGACAGTGCGCAGGCCCAGAGTTTGACCGACAGAAAAAAAAAAAAGGTCAGACAACCACAAAGGTCATTATTGGCCTCAAGACCCTCGGCTCTCAAGGCAAGTAGTAATCCACATGTACAGATGAGGAAGTGAAGATTCAGCAATGTCTTGCCCAAGAAGGTCAATGAAGGTATGTCAATTTGGACGGGACATTTGGACCCAGTGCCCTTTCCACTGTACAACAGACATCTGGATGGGTAGTAATAACTGGATTTCCCAGATTCTTCCTACTCACCCACAAAGCTCTTCTAGGAAGAAGTCTGATATCTGAACCCTTAGGAATCAACTCCCATAATGTTGCCTAACAATAGCCTGAGAGGAGACAGGCCAGCCACCTGTCCTTTGGCTCCACCCAGGTGATTCTGAGCCAGGGAATCTCTCAAGTTGCTATTTAAGTGTCTGACTATGAAATCCATTCTTTGCCTCTCATCTGCCTGCCCAGGACACACCAGCCCATTCTCCCTATTAAACTTCTAAATTTGTGGAGAAATTGGCATTTTTGATGGCATACACTGGAATACGATGAAGTGGACCGCACCTGCTGTTCATATGGAGACTAGCAGCTTGCCTACTGTAGTGGTTCTGGAAAATTCCAGCTGAAGGTATCAAGAATTCCTGCTCTAGGATGTGCCCACAGGGTGGAGTAAGATGCTCCTGGTGCCCCAGCTCTCCTAACGTGTCATAGGTTCTTAGCTTCTCTCAGGTCAGAGGGCTTCATCGGGACAGAAGTCTGTGGACTAAATCAGTAGAAGTGTCTGTGAGGTCCAGTGCATCCAGTGCTGTCTCTCGTGCCTGGATGCCGCCCCTCCCCACTTTACTTCCTAAATCTCTCCCTTGTTCCGGGAGCAGGGAATATCTCAGAAAGGACTGAGCTTCTGGGGCAGAGGTTAGATTATAATGTCCTAAATCAGAACAGGTGAGCAGTTCGATGAATCTAGAAAATGTCAACCCTGCGACACACGAATGTTCTTAACCTCCTACAGCCTGAGCTTATTTAGCTCGGGAGAAAAGCTCGGGGTAAAGTACTATCTTGAAGACCTCTCAGGCTCACAGTGAGGTTGTCTGTGCAGTTTGGGGTTCTGTTGGATCGGTCTGGCTGCTGGACCTAGTTCCTACATACACAGCAGCCAAAGCTCGGCTCCCTGAGGAAGGAAGGAAGGAAGGAAGGAAGGAAGGAAGGAAGGAAGGAAGGAAGGAAGGAAGGAAGGGAGGGAGGGAGGAAGGGAGGGAGGAAGGGAGGGAGGAAGGGAGGGAGGGAGGAAAGAAGAAGGGAGGAAGGAAGGGAGGGAGGGAGGGAGGGAGGGAGGGAGGGAGGGAGGAAAGGAGGGATATTGACGGAAACACTCGCCAACGACTCCTCATTACTTGTATGAGTCCCTGGAGAAGACTGTGCGGCCCGATTCTGGTCCGCCCTTCCTTCTGAAGCTCATTAGTGAACTTTCACAAAATTAGCCGCTCTGGGTTGGAGCCACGCGGAGGCTGCTCGCAGCGTGGCGGGACCATCTGGCCAACGAGGGTCTTTCTTTGCTCGGGGACAGACGAGCCTGCTGGCTGGGTCCGCCTCTCACCTGGCAGGGACCTGGCGGCCCCTTCTCCGCGCGCGCCCAGCTCCCGCCAAGTCACCGGCTGCGGTTGCCCAGGTAACGCGGGACGCACGCGCGGCGCGCGGTGATTGGCAGGTGAGCGGCGCGCGCGGCTTCCCCTCCCCTCCGCCCCCTCCCCCTCCCCGCCGCCCGCAGGGGGAAGGGAGGCGTTCCGGGTCCGGGAAAGCGCGGCTCTCGTGCCGCTCGCGGCCCAGCCACTGAGAAGCCGCGGGTGTGGCAGAGGGAAGGGGCTGGCCCAGTACTTAGGGGTGCGCCAGCCGCCGCGTCCCGCGTTTCTCCCGCGCGCACGATTCCGCCCGGGCGCTGGGGGGCCGCGGAGCGGCCACCGGGCTGCATCATGGTGACCCCCTCCCCGGCCAGCCCTGCAGCCCGGGTTGGGACGCGGGACAGCAGTCGCCACCTCCGCGCCCCGGTGAAGAAGAGCCGGCGCCCGCGCCTCCGGAGGAAGGAGCCGCTGCAGCCCCTGCTCCCGCGCCCGCTCCCCGGGGACTCTGGCGTCGGCGACCTGTCTGAGTCCCCGAGCTCGGGCTCGGACGGCGCCGACAGCCCTGGGGCGTCGGCGGCTTGGGGCTGCAGCCCCCTGCCCGGCCCGGCTCAGTCGTGGACGCCGCTCGATCTCCAGACCTTCCGTGACTACGGCCCGAGCTGCTACGCCTTCCGCAGGGCGCAGGAGAGCCGCTTCCACCCGCGGGCGTCGCTCGCGCGGCAGCCACAAGTGAGGCCGCCGCCGCTGCTCGCGTCCCGGCTCCCTCCTGTCCGGGCGGCCGCCCCGCGCGCGTCCAGGCCGGTGCAGCCCCGTTCCCGCTCCCTAGATGGATCAAAAGGAGCTTCCCAGAGCCGGGGAAGCTGGCCTTGCTTTTCCGATGGAGAAAAGTGGGGAGGACTCGGCTTCCAAGACCTGCCCCAAGCCGTCACGCTAATAGTTAGTGGGGGCAGCGTGGAATGCATGGAGTTTCTAGGTTCGAATTCGGACTCCTGTTTTACAGTCCCACCCCACTCTCCCCCCACTCTTTTTTTTTTTTTATCTGCAAAACGGACTGCTCCCCTACCCCTGACCTCGCACTGAATTGCTGGGATTGCACGGGGGGACGCTGTGCGCCCCGGGCTGGCCCAGCGCGGGGCGTCCGGCCGGGCCTGTCGACCTCCAGCCCGAGTTCTCGCGCGTTGCGCACGTGCCCAGTTTCCGTGCTTTCTGTCTACCTCGGGGGAAGCTCCCAGGGACTCCCGATCCTCCCTCTCCCCAGCCTCGTCTCCCCGCCCTTCTAGCCCTGGGCTCAGCGGGCTGCCTCCCTCCACCCTCCCTGCAGGTGACGGCCGAGTCTCGCTGTAAGCTGCTCAGCTGGCTGATCCCCGTGCACCGCCAGTTCGGCCTTTCCTTCGAGTCGCTGTGCCTGGCGGTGAACACTCTGGATCGCTTCCTCACCACCACGCCGGTGGCTGCAGATTGCTTCCAGCTGCTTGGAGTCACCTCTCTGCTCATCGCGTGCAAACAGGTACTTCCTTCTTCGAGGCCTCGGGAGGGGTGCAGCCAAACCCTCCACTTTCTGGACACCCCAGCTTTCCAGCGCACCGCTCAGCTTTGGGGTCCTTCTACTTCTTTTCGGGGGCGCTTGCAAATCAATGCATGCCACAGCCGGACCTTCACACAATTCTCCCGCCAACCAATCCTTTTCAGCTCCTAAAGAGATAATCTGTAGTCAATCCCCAAAGCTCGGTGGCACCACTATTCTAGTCTGCGAAGGAAGAAAACGAACAATAAAAAGCAAATCTCAAAACTTTCCCCGACCGCTGTGTGCCAGTGGCCCAGACCTGGAAGCTGAAATGTAAGAATCATGGTTCGCAGCCAGCCCAGGCAGGAACGTCCGTGCCACTTAGCTCCAATAAACTACCCCAAAAGAACTGGAAATGGGGCTGTGGCTCAAGTGGTAGAGTGCTGTCCTTGAGCACAAAAGCTCTGGGACAGTGCTTAGACCCTGAGTTCACCCCCCACACCCCCATTTCCCTTTCAGTGGAATCATGGGGTGCCAGGCGGTGGGGAAAGTGTGCAGTGACCCCAGCAGCCCTGCTGGAAGGGATGAAGGGGCTCCCGATTTTCTCTCAGTTTTCAGATATGGAAGCTGCCAGGGGCGAGGGGGGAGCAGGGACCTAGCACACCCTGTATTTCAGGTGGAGGTACACCCACCCAGGGTGAAACAGCTCCTGGCCCTGTGCTGCGGCGCCTTCTCCCGGCAGCAGCTCTGCAACCTCGAGTGCATCGTTCTGCACAAGCTGCACTTCAGCGTGAGCGCGCCCACTATCAGCTTCTTCCTGGAACATTTCACTCACGCGCGCGTGGAGGCCGGCCACGCAGAGGTCTCGGAAGCCCTGGAAGCGCAATCCCTGGCGCGGGCCGTGGCTGAGCTGAGTCTGGCCGACTATGCCTTTACCAGTTACACCCCCTCCCTGCTGGCCATCTGCTGCTTGGTGCTGGCGGACCGCATGCTGCGGCTCCCCCGCCCCGTGGACCTGCACCTGGGCGAGCACCCTGAGGAGGCGCTGCAGGACTGCTTGGGCAAGCTGCAGCTGCTGGTGGCCATCAACGGCACCTCCCTGACTCACATGCTGCCCCTCCAGATCTCCGAGAAGTGCAGCCTGTCTCGAGCTTGAAATAAAACACACACTCAGGCTCCTTACGTTTCAGCCTGGATGTCAGCCCTCCCCCCCCCCCATGGCCTCCGAGGAGCACAATTATGACCAGCCCAGGAAGGTCCGGGACTTGGGCTTGCCGCCATCCTGCTGTTTGTAAATAGTGCACAATAGCAGCACCTGGTTGTTTATTTATTCAACCCTTAGAGCGCACCAGGGAGCTGTCTTTCCCTAATACACGGGCTATCTATCACGGTTTGTTTGAATGCAGCTATATTTGCCATCTGTCTTTCACAGAAATGAAATTAACCCTGAAACAGGGGAAGTTGGCAATTTGTGGATCCTCCTCAACCACAGCTTCCTTCTGCAGTTAGCATCTCCATGAGAAGTATTTAGCCAAGGTCTAATTAGACCAGTCAAGTTCACTTACCTGTCTGGTCCCATGACCCTGCTGGGAGGAGACTCACGCCGCCCCCAGGTGTCTGTGGTGTGTGCTGAGGTGTGAGGCTCAGTAGAACAGTCCGTGCTGTCCAGAAGCCACCTGCTGCACTCATTACACAGGTGATCGGGAAGCAGAAAGCTGTGGGGACCAGGTAGGCACACTACACCCGCAGAGGATGAAGCCCCATATTCCATTACAGAGAATCCCACAAGCAACTGGCAAAGGGTGGAAAGAAAGGCTTTGCAGGCTGAGAGCTGCCAGGTGAGCCCCCCTCTGCTGTAATCACCTGGATCCTCTGATGTTCACACGTAGCTGTGGGCCCAGGCTAACAACGGCACGATGGTAATAAAGGCTTTGTACTGTGTACGGTCTTCAGCATTTGCTATGTCAAACATAGCCTCTAACAATTCTGTGAAGCAGTTTTTCACAGGATGTCATGGGACAGAGAATGATGGCAGGTGATCTTATTAAAGAATCCTACTCTTCACACTGTTAAACAGCTCCCACGGATATTTTTCTGGACATTCTCAAAAACTCTACCTGACTCACAAGTTATTAGTAAGAGTTCTCTGCTTGGGGCACCATTCTTGTTTAGTCATGCCACAAATGGAGAAACTAGACTTGGAAGTGATATGGCTGGCTGAAATGTCTGTGATTTTATGGTGGTCACATCTTCATTCTCATTGTCACAAATTTGCTGTAGGCCTTGACCCTCAGCTCTACTACCTGCAGCTCTACAATTGCTACCAGCATGGCGGTGAATTTTAAGGGAGATTAAGCTTAAATGTTCTAAAGTAGTATAAAATATCAATTAAATACATAAGCGCATCCCAAGTCTCATCTGTAGCATTTATTTGAGAGATCTGAGCTTTATGGGGAGGTTTCATATAACCTCGTATCTCAGCATAGGGCCTGGCACTTAGCAAGCCCTCAAGAAGGGAAGACCAGTGGTAGCCTACACAGTGAAGAAGGTTTATGTGGGGAAAGCTTGGAGCAAAGAAGCAGAGATAAAGCAAATTGGGGAAAGTGTTAATAATGGGTATGGGGGAGTGTGGTCCATGTACTGTCCCCCAAAATTTCTGTATGCTTTGAAAAAAACTTAGAAGAGTTTTTGAGGAAGAATTCTAGTCACTTGCCCCACTGCATTTAGAGTAAGTAAAAACATGACAAAAATAAAATCAAAGCAAATTTAGAGAATTGTCTTTGTACAATTTCCAAGTGACTTCCAGAGCCTGGGCTGTCTGACTCTGGTTCTTCCAGCTGGAGGTGTAAGTGCAAAGCTACTTTAAAAAAAAATCAACATAGGGGCTGGGAAGGTGGCTCAGTGGTAGAGTGCTTGCCTTGCATGCCAGAGGCCCTGGGTTCGATTCCTCAGCACCACATAAGCAAAAAAGAA